AATGGGGAAGGAAATCTATCGACCTGATGTAATAGGTATGTTAACCATTAGATAAGAGGAGGAAGAATATCTTATTTTATTTGAAAATACAATACAGTCAAGGCACAAGAATTTGGACAGGGAACAAGAGTAACAAACATAAAATGCATTGTAAATAAAAGACAAGGACCAGTAACACTGGGTGGAATTTGGCTGCTATTGAAGTTGGTGGAAGCTTTGCCATTGACTTCAGTGGGACAGGATTTCACCTGAGGATGTGGCCCCTGCCCCAGGATCCGCCTTGCTAAGTTATCCAAGTGTGTCATTGCTTCCCAGTGCTCTCAAAGACCTTGGCTCCTGCTGAAATGTGGAATGCCCAGAGCCTTGGGGCAAAGGCACTTCCTATGCAGGATCTTAGTGGTCGAGGCTTGCAGCTTGTTGTTTCTCATTGGAGAAACCAAAGCTAAAGCAGGGGTGAGAGCTAGGCGTGTGCAGAAGAAAGCTAATTGCCGTTCATTCAGATCAAGTTTCCTCAACTGGAAGGTGGTTATGTACCATCAGGTCACATTTCTGGAATAATTTATATTGTTTTATGTTACTAGGACTGCATTATACCATGGGAATACTGACTGTACATTCAAAAAATGGCTCATCGTGTCATGTGGGGTTGGGAGTGGGAGTGGGAGGAACCAGCCCAGAACACGTTTCCTCACTTCAAAGGCAAGGATCACTGTCTGAAACAGTCAGATCACAGCTGGATCCAACTTCTAAGAAGGGAAAAATAATAATCTCCACCAAAATCACCCTTTGATACAATTGCAAAGATAACAAATGATACAGAGGAAGGGTTTTGGGCAAAGGTGTAATGACCCCTGTACTGCATCCTGCTAAAGCAAAAGATTGTTCTCCTGAAAAAAATGCTACTTATCTTTATTGAAGGTCTCTTTGTCAGGCTACAGTGAATATAATTGAAAGTGAAAGGTTGATTTGGTACCTGCTGTTTCAAAAGCAGTGAAAACATGTAAGAGGTGCTTAGGATGGTGATCAGTTGTCTGTGAGATGAACGACAGTTCTGTGTTCAAGGGCCGCAGAACATGGCTGCAGTGTGGGTACCATACCCTGCACGCAGCTCCCTGGCTGTTACCTGCAGCTGTAGGAAGCATTTTATTCACAAAAGAGATGCTCAGATTTTGAGAGGCTTTTGGGGCAGGAGGAAGTCGATATCTTGATCTGGAGATGAGCTAGAACAACGCTGTCCACTGGCATTAAGCCAATTGCAGGATGCTGATCTTAATTTCCAGATCTGTCGTAATTAAATAGCCCTTCTTCTAAACAAATTATCCATAAGAGGCAGTTCTGCTTTATTCTTGGTAGCTGTAGTACATCTGTGAATTCTTGTAGATATGCCAGAGGGAGCTCCAAAATGAAATATTTTTGAAATAAGTTTCTTGTGGGATACTCTTGAGTGATACATAAACTTGAAGTAAATCACTAGATTTTTTTTTTTTTTTTAAAGAATAAATTGTACATCACTCTGCCAAGTTCATGCCCTGATCCTCCATCCCTGCTCTAAGGGGCTGTTTTTCTCCTGGGGCCATTGCCCCTCCCCAACTCTATTGTTGCCAAAGAAGTGATTTTTTATGATGTGTGTGACGGCAGGGCATTGGGTATCAGATACACCTCCATTTTCAATCCAGAGCTAAAACTCCCATTGATTTGGGACCACTAAGTCATGTTTGTTTTGCAAGACACCAGATTTAGTTAAGGTAAATGGCTATGTAAGAAGTAAAAGGTCTACCATTATTATTAAGTAGTGTGTTTTTGAAGCCAGAAAGTCCTTGAGCCAAGTCCTGAAAGAGGCTTAGCATGCACAGCTCCTTGGGTGTCAGTGGTGGTGGAAGGAGGAAGATGAGTGGCTCTCACCTGCAGGGAACTTTGGTCCACCTCCACCAAGAGGCACTTGCCTAGACAAAGATAATGTCAGACTGCACAACCTGACCTCTGCCTTTTTCTTTTGTCCACCACAGAGCGTGTCCTCCTTGGAGCTTTGTGCGCTGTGTGGGGACAGTAGGTCACTTACACTCTTCAAGCAAGCATATCATTAGTGCCATTTAGCAATTATGTTCAACCCTGTTCCCATTGTGTGGGGATCATAGAAACCCATGTGTTGATGAAGGAGTGCACATCACAAACCTTTTCTTTCTGCACATTACACGGTCCAACCCTCCTCCCTCATCTTGCTTTTCCATGTAAGAAGTGTTCAGCACCTTGTAGGATGAAACCCAGTGTGCTCAGCAAGGTTGATGTCAACTTGGAGGTGCAAATCCTGAGGAACATGAAACATTGCATAAATTGCTGAGATCTGGGGAGGCCTAGACTTGTAGCCTCACCAAGAATTAAATGTCTCAGGAAAATCTCTGAGTTTTCTCCCTATTGTTTGTCCAGCTGAGCCACAGGGGTCCATCCAGGCCTGACCAGGGCTCTGTGCAAAGGGTATGCGAGCCCCGCCCACCTACACTGCATCCCTGTAGACCTCTCTGGCGCATTGCTCAGCTTCTCCCTGAGCTGGATCATCTCTTTACCTCCTTTCCTTTTTCTGTCTTTATTAATAGCCTCAGCTGGGACTTCCCTGTAGTCTTCTATGCTGCTTCTAACTCTTCTGTTCGGGCCATTGAATGTCTAAACCTTGTCATAAATATTGACTTAGCAAGAAGTAAACTGTTTTTCAGCAGTCCTTTGGCATGTCTTGATGTTTCTGTATACCTCAGAATAAACCCGTGCTTGTCCTGAAATCCCGAGTTTGGTTCTGAGTCAAACTGGTCTTGCCTTTGACACTGACTTTGGAAAATAAATTCATTAGCACATCTTCTGTGTGTATCCCTCACAGTTGGCTGCAGTTTATGACAGGGATTTCTTTGTTTTGATTTGGAGGGCTTTTTTTGTATCTTCTGCAGCATTTTCTTCTTGGTGCATGGCACTGGGATTCTTCCCGTTTCCTGGAGCTCCAGGCTGAATGTAAACCAGAACCACTGCTGAGCAGAGTGGATGAGTTAGCCCCATTGCTGTGGTCTTCATAGGATGGAGGCATCAGTGGGATCTCTGCATCACTCTGATGAGAGTTAGGCAAAACCTAGGACTTGTGTTGTCCTAGAAACCAACAAAATTCATAGGGAATGTTCCAGTGCTACAATCCTGTGTGTTTAATCCAGTTCAGAGTTCAGGACTGTCCTTTCCCAGACTTGGAGGGGTGGGCAGGTGTCCAGCCAAAAAGCAATCCTGGCTGATACAAATTTGTGTAAGGTTCAAGTGGGCTGCGTGAACAATCTGACATATGAATGCACTTAAAAACTTAGGTCTGTCTTCCTACTGAAGAGAGAAGATAGTTTTCCCTCTCTGTATGCACTGGGAACTCCCATGGTTAGTGAAATGAGATTTTTCTGATTGGCCTCAAACCTGCCTTTCTCCATTTGTCTAAATCCATGTCTGTTGGGAGCACGTTGGTGGGAGACAATTCCTGACACAGTGGGACTTGTAAATCCTCAGCCCTGTTCCTGCAGTTGTAATTACTTTCTCATAGTTGGGGAGTTAGCATAAAGCCACGAGAAAGGGATTTAAGCCAGGACTTAGGACTGGTGTCTTGGAAAAGGGAAGAGGATTTTTGGTTTTGTAGTTGATTTTATGGTGACAAAACTGAAGCATGGATTTAACAGTTGATTAAGTTTCTTAGCATGTATTTTCTCACCTTTTACACTGGGTTTTTGTGGAGCTGATGAAGTACCAATCTCACTGAATCGTGTTATAAATTGCATTTAGTAATATTTTTGCCTACACATTATTCTCATCACAGTATTGATGTTAATGTGCAATGTGTACTGCTGGAAAGTGTACACCACAGTCCAGCATTGCATCAAAATAAAAGAACCTTTTCCTTTTCCATAATAAATGAAGAAACATTTTTAAAGCCTTGATGCTGAAGCCAGGCTTAATGGTGCGGTGTGGATATTGGGGTTGGGCTCTCAGAGCTACAGGATACTGTCTAAGATTGAAGATGAGGTTCATCCTTGTAGGCTGTGTTGTGTCCACACAATCTGTAGATTTGTAGAGCAAAGCAGTTGTTTCTGAGAATCTGATGTCTGCACAATACATCTGATAGAGGAATTTATCCTGGAGTAGCTCTTCCTGCAGACTGAGCACCCATCAGGTTGGGATATGTTGTGTATGCCCCTACAACATCCTCAGGTTTAAGTTCATCCCAGTAGCATCTGTTTTGTGCACTTCACAAGCTCTCTGCAGCGTGACCCAAAGTGTGGTAAATGGGGCAACTGGGACATTCACTTTTAAAGTACTCTTATGCCTAGAACAGGAGAACCCCTCTGAAATCTGAAAGGTGGACTTTGCATTTTTGGCTTGCCCACTTGTGTGTTGACTGGGTGACTGTGTAGTGGGGTGGAAGCTGGACTAAAGTGCTGCCTCTCCCCTGGGATCACACAGGCTTTGCAGCATGGCTGGGAGCTGGAAGCAGAAAGTACTTTGGGTTTGTTTGTTTTAATTACCTGTGCTAAGTCTAGGTAAAATGGGAGACACTTTTCCATGTAAAAAGGTGGAAAGTGGGCAGTTTCATTTGGTGAAATGTAACAGTGCTGTAGCATCGTACCTGTGCAGCGATGCTGTTTTGGGAGGGTATTCTGCGCTAGATAATGATGGAAGCATCTTTCTTGCAGGCTCAAACACAAAGATGGAGTGTCAGAAAATTACCAATTTTGGAAACCAACTTCTTCGCCGGAAAAATGTTGACTGCACTCGAGAAGACAGTCAGCTTTCACGGTGCCTCAACACATTTGACTTGGTGGCTCTGGGTGTAGGCAGCACTTTGGGTGCCGGTGTCTATGTACTGGCTGGAGCTGTGGCACGGGAAAATGCGGGACCTGCCATCGTTCTCTCCTTCTTGGTTGCTGCCTTGGCTTCGGTGCTGGCCGGACTCTGCTATGGAGAATTCGGTGCTCGAGTTCCTAAGACAGGATCAGCTTATCTCTACAGCTATGTGACTGTGGGTGAGCTGTGGGCCTTCATCACAGGTTGGAATCTAATCCTCTCCTATATTATTGGTAAGTATGGTGGGTGGGCTGTGACACCCTAGATTTAGTTCAGGGTGGCAGCCTGGTTTGTAAGGTCAGCCTTGTTTGAGTGCCTGTGCTACTGTTACAAAATAGATGGTTCACTCTTGCACTCACAGAGGATTTCAGGACTCATCTGTGGGGTGTGTTGTTGCTGGCTCCTGTCAGTCAGCTACAAGGTGGTGTGCTGCTGGCTGAGGGTTTGTCCTGATGCAGGCTTATTGCTGTTGTGACTTCTGAATCTCCACCTCATCCCTTTGGCATCCCCTAGCTGCTGCACACTTGCCAGGATGCAAAAGAGTGTTCCCTCTGCTGAGAAAGGAATTGCTGATGGAAAGATGCTTTTATACAGAGCATTTGTACTCACAGCTGATCAAGGATTAATTCTGGTCCCTTTGGGATCTATTTAAAGTATCTGGAGATCAGAGTTTTGTCTTGTGAATGCCTGCAGAATTAAGCTGAGGATGATCTGCAGGTTCACAGTCTCTGAAAAGTACAAACCAAATCCCTTCTAAACCCTTGACTCCCACTAGGAGAGGCCCTGGATGAAGCTCAGAGCATGTGCTATACAACTCAGCTGGTACATTAAAACTAAGCCACACTTTGCTAATTAAGGATTCATGTCTTTTCAAGCACATTCTGGGCAGGCTGCTTGTCATCACGCTTGTAATTAAGTCTGCAACCAACTTGCCAGTTGAGAGTGAAAGCTTACTAGTTAAAGTGAAAACTGATTGTATGCTAAATTATTAAAGGCATGGTGTTTTTTTTAGTGCATTTTATGGGAATGTAAGTATTACTTTGTAATTTAGTTTCCGTGGAATTCACCTTCCCATGGAGGGTAAGATCATATCAAGAACAACATAGTGGCTTAGCAGCTGTTTGTCTGAGGTCATGTTGGCTCTGCTCTGTGTGTTACCTGAAACATTTTCCTCCTTTCCTCTTCCTCTTTTTTTTTTTTTTGTAAAAAAAAAAGAAAAAAAAAGAAAGAAATGAGATGAAAAGCCAGAGTCATTAAGCTCATCTCCTTAGGAAATCCGAGTCCTGCTGTTCTTTTGTGAATAATATTCACTGCAAGGAGGGGATAAAAATAATTTTTTTAAAAAGTGAGCATGTAATTTCCTCCAGACTTCTAAAATGGACTCTGCTTAGCCTACATGTAGAAAATTTGAACAGACTTCTTGGTGATTTTTCTTCTGTTCCAGAAAGGTAATGATAAATCGTCTCCTTCGTGCTCCTCATCTAATTGGTTTTGGGTCCCTTCCCACCATGATACTGGACGACCAAAATGACTGACATAACTGTGGATGCTGTCCCAAAACCTGATTCTGCAAATGCACGATGAAAAGATTTGCCTTCTGAATGTTATATGCTCAGGATCTGGGCTCAGAGTGGTATTTCTGAGACTTTTTTTTTTTTTGCCCTGTCATAATGGCTTTTGAATGACTGCCTCAGTTTTTATTTCAGAGTTGGCTGCTCAGTGTATTATCACAAGGCAGAAAATTCAGTAAAAAATAAGTAGATACAGTCTATTGATGTGTTCAAACACAACTTTTTTGCTTTTATTTCATTCCTGTGTCAAAAACGTGTTTGCAAACTGGCTTCCTCATAATCTGTGAGGAAGGGCGGCTAAGGAGGAAAAACAACTGGGGGAGAATATGAAGTATAGGAGGTCTCTGTTTCTTTATCTTATCCAGCCTTTTTCCCAATGCTAATTGCCCCTCCTGTGAGCAAGGACAACTCCCAGCAGCTTCAAGGGTGTGGAGGAGAAAGATGTATTGGCAGGCACACACTGCACTTCAGAGCCAGGAGTTGAGAGGGGCAGAAAGCCAATTTTTTTCTCATTTGTGCTGAGAAAATGCCAAGCAGTGCCACTTGCATCTCTAAGGGGCTCAGTCTACTTGATGTTTTCATGCTGAAGTTCTCAAGCATCTGTTCAGAAAGTATTGTGGGGGTGGAAAAAGAAATCCTGGGGTCCTGGGATGGGTGGCCGATAGCTTTTAATTAATTGAAGTGACTTGGCTTGGGGGAAGGCTGATGTGAGGTCCTGGAGGTGGGTGATGAGGAAAAAATGGGTGTGCAACTGATCAGTTAAGGTCTAGAGAGAAGGCAGAAGGTGTCCAGGACCAGGATCTGCTGTGGCCTTTCTTCTGGGATGATGTGAGTTTGGGGAACCATGCCAGATTGTAGGAGGCATTTCAGGAACTGGAAGCTGGTGGGAGCTGGTAGTATGATGAGTATGATGAGTAACAGCATCCCTGGTGAATGGCTGCTGCTGGGTTTCTGGCACTTGGTGACCTTCTAGCCTGTGCCTGTTCCTGCTGTGAGTCCGACACCTGCGTTCAGCAGTTCTCCTGGGGGTGGTGAGCTGCAGGCAGGAATCAGATCAAATCTGGCGAGGTTTGGCTGACCCAGTCCTCCTGGGTACAAGTTGAATGTCTTTGCACTGTGCTCTCTTAGCAACAGCAGGAGATTATCCAGGTGTCTGCGATGTTGGAAGAATGTCAGATTCCCCCTGCTACCTCAAGGCTGTTGGTTACAGAGAGTTCATGGTAAACGGCTGATAACTACGTGGAACTGGCATCCAAGCAACTGGCATCTAATATAACACATGCAGGAGCTGGTTGTTCCTGTCCTAGAACATGAAATATTAGAACTAGGACAAAAAAATTAGCGTTAAAATAGTCTTTTTCCTCAAATCGTGCCAAAGTTAAGCTGAAAAATTGTAATGTGGTATACAATAACTTTTGGAATTTTTCAAGTTTAAATTGATGGCAATGATGTCCCACCTCATTAAAGGTGTTCACACTGTGCACTTTGCTGTCTCAGTGAACAGAAGAGTCTCCGAACAGGTCTGTTCTGCAGCTTATTTTTATGCTGTTGCAAAGCTGGATTGGGGCGGTGAGTGTTCCCAGCTGTGCTACAGGTGCTGCCCGCCGCCGCTGCAGAGGATTTAGCTGTAGGTGAGCACGGACATTGTTTGACATGATTGCAGGTGCCGGAGTTGGGACTTGAACACCCACACACAGGTGAGTGTCTCAGAACAAACTGTTCTGGGTGGAAGGGGGCCCCTGATGGCATCCTCTGAGGAGCTGCTCTGCAAACCAAAACCAAGCCAACCTCTTTTTCTAATTAGGTAATTATGTACAGTAGTAATTATATCATGCAATTAGGTGCAGTTATATATAGTGTACTGTATGAGACATGGGGAGTATGATGGTAACTTTAACACAGGAGATGGAGAAATTGGCTTTTACCCAAACCTACTTATTTTACAAAATTCTGTCACTGTCTGGTGGTAGCTCCTCGTTGTTACTATTTCAGTTCTCTGAACTGACTGTTATGGTCCATACAATGTCCCTAACTTGATTGTCTTAAGACTACAGGTTCACTCCTCATGCCAGCAAGCTGCACGTGGTTGGGTGCTCTCGAAACTGCAGCAAACGGCAAACCCAGAGGGCAAAGTCTGAGCACTTGCTGCAGGCAGGAGTCATGGCACTTGCTGGGATCATCGCCAGCATCCTGCAGTAGGCTGACTTATGCTCAAATAACCTGTAAATCGTATCTGGGTCTTTATCTTGCTTGGATGCTCTAGCACTGGAGGTCAGAGCAGACCTGCAAGTCACGAGAGAGCAGAGCATGCAGAGCTGGGCAAGTGGTGTGGTCCAGGCTCTGATGCTCCAACACTGTGCTGCTGGAGGGCAACTGGCTTCTGTGAGGTCCCTCTGCCTGGCCTGCAGTCACCCCACTGGGGCTACGAGGGTCCTCTGCCAGCATGACACTTGGACCTCTCTGGTGACATAAATAACCAAGTTTGGGGGAAAGTCAGGCTACTGGGGGTGTAAGGAAAAGGTCGGTTTGGGCAGTATCTAAGGCAAAGTTGAGGTTTATGAGGAAGCCAAAGTAAAAGGATATTTTTCATCTTGTCAGCTGGGCATCAGTCTGAGACCCACCACCTGTGTGTGTTACCATCAGAGCAGATGCCAGGCATGAACACAGGCTGTGAGCTGGATATGCGGAGGAAAGGCTACTCCCAGCACCTGGGAGCACACGTAATGTTGCTTTGAGGCCCTCCATGCCAAAAAGCCTTGCAAGATGCCCCTAGTTTGGAACATATGCCAGCCACAAAGGGTGATCTCTGTCCTTTCTGTCCTCTGGCAGGAACCTCAAGCGTGGCCAGAGCCTGGAGTGCAACATTTGATGAAATCATAGGGAAGCACATTGAAGAATTTTGTAAAAAGTACATGACGATGGATGCTCCTGGAGTGCTAGCAAAATACCCAGACATCTTTGCTGTGGTGATAATCATCATTCTAACAGGTGAAACACTGGGGGGTTGTGAGTTTTGGACCTCCTTCTCCTGTAATTTCATTGTTTGCTTTTGGAATGAGCACGAAGTCCTGATTTATTTTGGACAACATGTTAGAGACTCTTTCTTTCCTACAAGTGTTGGATTGACCTATATAGCTGCTGTGGAGTTAGCACAGGGCATAGCCTGTTTACAAGGTTTTTAATTAGAGGGGAACATTCTCAGTATTTTTGAGCCACTTTTAAAACCTTCAATCAAATTTTATATAAGGAGGAAAAGAAAAGGTGACTTGTTATCCTCAATCAGGTATGGAAGTTTAATCCTTCCCTCCACAAATCCTATTACACAAGAATTTCATAGAGTTGGTCTATTAACCTTATTCCCCCTACAATAATCTGCCAGTTTTTGCTGCCTTGAGATAGGAAAGTGAGGAAAAAAACCACAGACTCGGTTACAGTCTCATATACTACTGTTTTGTTTTTTTAAAAATATATATGGGCTTCAGTTTGCAGAAGTGAATTCAAGTATCCAGAGAAATAAATGTGTAATAAACAGTCAAGGCGTCTTTTCTTTTTCTACAAATGTGCCAAGGCTTTGATCATAATTGGGAAAAGTTTTGAAAACTTATAAGATCAAAATCCTTCTGAATGTTTACCTCTGCTCCAACTGGATCTTGCAAAGCGTTACCAAGTTTAGGCAAATTTGAAAGATTATGCTTCTTATGTACTCCTTTGTGGTTTCCAGAACACAGAAGCTGCAGTGCCACACTACCAAGGTTATCCTGACATTTCCCACTGATCAGAATGGCCTTCTCACAGCCTGAACTGTGCTCATGAGCACAGGCCTCATAAGCAAGGGAGGCTTTGAGATCTGGGTTTGCATTTGGATCTAGGACTATATCAAGGGCTGATGAAGTCAGTAGCAGCCCTCTGTTTTTGGGATTACATCTGAATGGGAGAAAAGATTTTCCTCATTGTTCATTTGTATATAATTGCTCTAATTTCAGTTTAGATTCTGGTCTTTCATCTCAGATACAATTTAGAATATTTAGGACTTCTTACTTTAACAATACCAAAGTGTAAAATTATGCAGATTATGGATGGCTTTATGGCTCTGCATGAAGCAAATTCCCTTGATTTTAATAAAAAATGCAAGCCAGTCTTTTCTCAAAAAAGCTGCTGAATGAGCAGCTTTAATCTCAAATATAAGCACCACAAGTTTATTTCTACTTGCACTATCTTGAGCTTCAGAGTTCTACTAGGTACCTTACAAGTTTTCATGGGCAGGTATGCAATCTTTTGAAATGCTTCCTTGATATGGCTGTGTCAGCTTATTTCCTGTCTTAAAAGAAGGAAAGGTGAGTGCGCAGGATGCTCCCCTCTCCTTGAAGTCCTTTAGAGTAGCAGTAAAAGGAAAAAACTGTGTTGTTCTTGTCTTCTCCCTGAGGCCTGTGTGAAGTTTTGTTACCTTCTCCCTCAGCCTTAGATTTGGATTAAAGGTTTCAGTTCTTAAAAATTGGGCACCTGAAGAGTAAATGCAAGTTATGAGAGCTTGTCGTTCTGAGGAGCCAAGCTATGCCTTAGTGAGATTGTGTTTGCCAAAGCCTGTGACCATGCTCTTCTTCAGATAGATTGTCTTAAGACCAGGCTGAAATCATGCTCTTGCTGAGCTCACTGGCAAAGCTCCTACTGATTTAAATGGGAGCAGAATTCCCAAGATACCACCTTCTTCTGTGTCTTCAGCACTAGAAATAGCTGCTAAAAGTAGAACCCTCCTGGATTTGGTCCTTGCTTGTATTTCCCCTTGTTTCTAAGGAAAGTTGACTCTTGTTCATAACTTCTGCATTTGGCCAAGAACTCTAAGACAACGTTCCTTCATAAAAAACCACCCATGGTGCTTTCTCCGGGTCTCTGGGTAGAATTCCAGGCTGTGTCTAGGTGGCAGAGTGTAGCAGCATGAGGTGACCAGAGCTGGCGTTGAATGTACTGGAGGTTTAGCTGTGTTAGCAAAGCACTTTACCAGCGGCACATACCACGTGGGCGTGCTGGGTGGGAAGATGTGGCACATTCTGCAGTAGTAATGTCTGGGCTGGAGTCCTCATTCTACTTCTGGATGAGTTACACCTGGGCTACTTGGCTTTGTGGAGAAATGAGGTGTGGTAAGTTGGGCAGAGCACAGCATGAACAGAGTTGGGCTATGTCTGTGAGTCCCCAGCACCTGCTGCTGGTGGCAAAATACCTGACTGCCGTGTTTTCCCTAGGGCTTTTAATATTTGGTGTGAAAGAATCCGCCCTGGTGAACAAAGTGTTCACCTGTATCAACGTCCTCGTCCTTGGCTTCGTCGTGATCTCTGGTTTCGTGAAAGGATCTGTTAAAAACTGGCATCTGACTGAACAGGACATTTACAACACCAGCCACAGCATTTATGGAGACAAGTAGGTTGCATCTTTTCTTCTCATCTCAGAAGCTGGTGCATTTTCAATAGCAAGTTTGTGGGGGGGGTTGTGGGGTGAATTAGAAAACCAGTGAATGGGATTGCTGCCTCCTTTGCCAAATACCTTGGAGGCAAAGCTGGCTTTGGTGGGTGCTTTTTGAAAGCGGTCTGTACTGATGGGCTGAAACTGCTAGGAATAGGCTATGTCAACGTGGACCCTGCTGCAGAACTCACCATTTCTAGCCTTGTGACCAGTATGACACCCAAATTTGAGAGAAAAGAGCTCTTTAGACAACCTCCTACTCAAGGCTTCACCAGACTGGCTCTGGTGCCTGTATGAAGCCATGTCCAAGTATACTGTGTACTTTCTGTGGATGCTTGGGCAATATCCTTGGGGCATTGTTGTACCTTTTGGAGACTTTGTTCCAAACGCCTCAATAAAATGAAGGCAAGTTGCAGATAATTTAAATGCATTGCAGTAAGCAAATCACAAATCTATTTTTAATGACATTTTTCTTCTTGGCCAAAATTCTGCCATCCTATACAAGATTAAAATTAAGGAGCTTACAAGTTAGTTAGCTTACTAGTTAGACAAAACTATTCATTTTTGCTTGAGACTGTGCAACACAGAATGAGGGCCTTTAAATATCTCCATATATATCAGCTCAGTCCCGGCTTGCTATGTAACCCTTTATGCTGGCCTGCAAGGAAGCAAAGTTTGGCACAGTCTGTCGAGATTCATAAATGTTGTGTGAGTCAAATTTAGCTTGTGTAAAAGCCACTTCTTGAGCCTCTGCAAAACTCAACCTGCTGCAAACAAATTGCTTCTATAGGACAGGTCCCCCCTCCTTTCCTGCTGTTATTCCCATGCAAGGAGCAATTAGTGCAATAGTTTGAAAGTGTAGCTCTTTGACCTGTAGCGTTTCATATTTTTGTAAAATCTGTCTGGGGTTTACTTTACTTTATCACTATTTCCAGGGTAATCCATGTTTGGGTTGTGCTGTTTTTTGTGGGCCAGTTTTCATCTAAGTCTCAATAGAGTTTCTTCGAGAGAGTTCAAATGCTTACACCTGATAAGACTTGCAGATTTGGCATTTACTTTAATTGCCTTAATTCATCCTTACAAAGGCTTTTCACTGAAAAAAGTGACTTAAGTCACTTGAACTGAAGGATATGTTTTTTATTTGTCACTCAGCACAGGCGCATGGATCTGGGCTCCCAATCCAGAGTGCACTGGGATCAGCATGTGTCTGTATGTTGACTTAAATTAACTTTGGATAAGGCTCAGCAAAGTATTTGGTGTGTCAGGGATGCAGGCTCCACTTCTCCCTTAGGGCTACAAGCATGGTTTGAGTATTAGCTTGGCACAAGGAATTTTGAAGTTGAGAATAGAGGATTGGATGGCTTTTAGACAGTCGTGGCACCCTGCATTCCTCTCTTATGTCTACTCACCTACACTTTGTCCCAAATCCCTCTTAAGTGAAAAGTGTATGGTTTATATGTTTCTCAGTCTTCAGCTTTTAGAATTACATCTTGTGCTTTTTCAAAAGCTTCTGTTTAAATGAATATGTATATCTACACACATACAGTAATATTAGGAGAGAACTTTTAATATTCATGCTATTTTCTCTTTGTCTTAGCCAAGACATTTTTATCCACCCCACAAAATGGGTAGTGGGAACAAACCACAAACCATTTTTATTCTGGGCATTCCCCAACCTGTTGCAGGCCAGTCCAGAGCTCAGCACTGGGTAGGGCTTAGCATTTTGCCTTGTATTTATATGCTATCATGTGAAAGGGAGAGCCTGTTCCTTCAAACTTCGGCTTTGAATTTTGTTATGAGCTGTGTGAATAGCTTTGTTACTCCCACCTAGGCAGGATCACTTCTAATCCAGTGCCATGCGTTTTAGTCAAACACAGGAAGAAAAGCTCTACGGTGTTGGAGGGTTTATGCCTTATGGATGGAATGGAGTCCTCTCAGGGGCAGCCACATGTTTTTATGCTTTTGTGGGATTTGACTGTATTGCTACTACAGGTAAGAGGGAAGATGTTCTTTTTTGTTATGAACCTGGTTGCTGGTAGATTGGCTTTCAGTAATGTTGCAGAGCACAGATAATAGGGAATTCAGGGCACCACATTCATTGTCTCTCTGAACCTCAGCTCAAAGTAGAGTTTTGGATCATCTACTCCTAACAGTGAAAGTGCTGAGTTTGTCCAAGTCCCTGGGTACCTGAGTGCTGACTTCTAGCTGCTGTGGCCGGCCATTAAACCGTGTAACCCACAAGCTTCCTCCCTCCTTCTTTGCCTGTAGGGCCCACTCTTGTGGATGGTCACTAACGGTCCATCATGTCCAGTTTTATCAGTTAGGCAAACAGGGAAGGCCCAGATTCAGATACTTGGTATGACTGGGGAAGTTTGAGCGTCTAATTCTAACCGATATTTTAATCAACAGGTTATTTTAGAATAGGGTTCTTCAGGGCTTTCAGCTGAAGAAGCTCTGATGGTTTGGAGCCAAAGAAAGAGGAAGCCTCTGGGGAGTCATCTGCACCCTAAAGCTGTGCCTCAGAATCAGGGGGAGTTTTAATCTCTAAAGATTAAGATACCTCATTTAGAGAGAGAAGCCATCAGCATTGTCATATTTCTTCTGGCTAAGAAGAATCTCAATTCCCTGGAGAAAGGAGGTGATCCTTGATTTCACATTAGACATGAATTGAGTTGCTTCAAAGTTGGAGCAGAGGAAGAAGGAAATCATGACAAAGACAGATAAAGCAATACTGCCTGTTATTCCAAGCAAGGAATTTCAGAAGTGCTGGCTCCATTACTCCAGCCAGTCCTAGAGTCTCTCCTTGTAGGAGAAACATGTTCATCTCTCTTTGACTTCTGGGTGTATGGATCTGTGTTTGTTAGTTCATTCTCCTGAAATGTTAAACCTCAAGAGCCCTTGCTTTCAGAGCAGCTTTTTAGGACAGGGAAGGCACAAATCTGTTTCATAATTAATCAGTACCTGAATTTTGATGAATTTTGGTTTTTTAGACATTTGTCCCTACTTGGTTGTTGAAAATTTTCCATAAAAACTATGGGGGGTCCTTTTTTAAGGAGGGATTTTTGAAGACCCATATGATTATCAGGTGCTCTGCCTTTTCCTGTAACTGGGCACCTATGGTGCCATGTTCATGGTGTATTAATTCTGGTGGAGATGCTACTGAAATGGTCATCCAGGGATTTGTCCTACAACTGCACAATAATTTCTTGTTCCATCATTTGTGATCATTGAACTCTTCTTGGGTCTGCACCATCAGTGGGATAGAAGGAGTATACAAGGATAACCTGTTCTGGGGAAAGGACTGTTTTCAATCCAGACTGTTTCTGTGACTGCGTTTACAAGGCTTCCACAAGTGTCTATCAGAAGGATTGACAGGAGCAGCAGAAGTGGGAGCAAACAGCTGTGGTAGGCCAAGTGGATGGAGCAGTCTGTTGACAGCTTTATGGTCAAAGAGCACCTCAGTGCCCACAAAACCTTTGAAAGCCCCAGCCAGCATGCCCTAGATTGGGATAAAGTTCTTGCTTGTCATTTAGCTGATATTTAAATTTCTTTCTTTTAGGCGAGGAGGTAAAAAACCCTCAGAAGGCCATTCCTATTGGCATCGTGGCATCTCTGCTCATTTGCTTTGTGGCCTATTTTGGTGTGTCGGCTGCCCTGACTCTCATGATGCCTTACTACCAGCTGGATACCAATAGCCCTTTACCCAATGCCTTTAAATATGTGGGTTGGGATGGAGCCAATTATGCAGTGGCTGTCGGTTCCTTGTGTGCCCTTTCTACAAGGTAAGACACTGCTCTTCCTTTTTGCATCTCTCAAGGCAAATCTCCAGCTCTTGTAAAACATGGAGCAGAGATCAGGCATGAAATTCAGAGCTATTGACTTCAAAAGGACCAGGATTTCACCCTGTGATAGATATCAGAGATGCACGTAACCAGTATCACTTCAGAAATTCCCATCTTAACAGAAGACCCAGCAGGTGCATTTCAGGAATATAAATATGGATTGAGTGACTAAATCATGGAGGCAACTACGCAGTGGACATCCTGGCATGCTGGATGGAGAGCAGACTTGTGTCAGGTAGTGCAGGGTGCATCTTCTGCAGCATGTGGGGCTTGCCATATCCAAGGCCATCTGTCTGCAGATTATCTGCAGGACAGCCATCTGGATGGGAGGCAGGGCAGGCTGGAGGCAGAATATGTCATCTTCTCCTGCACTCGGGAGGCCCATTTCAGATCAACTTAGACATATTCAATTAGTTGAGCAACTCTAGAGGCTCATAGAAGTTACAGCTCTTTTACTACCTGAAAGTCAGGCTGTTTTCATGCCCCATGGCTAAGTTTAAGCATCCAAAATCATAGAGCTGCACCTCATTTGCCAACCATCAGTAACATGGGTGTTCGAAGGGGGCCCATGAAGGAGAAGCTTAAGTGAGCGAAAGCCACCTGTGTTCATACTGCCATAAACTAGCTTTTGTTTGTATGCCTGTGCTCAGCAGGAAGTGATATAAGTAGATTATTTCTCCCTCCTGTGTCTGTAGTCTCCTTGGCACCATGTTTCCGATGCCTCGAATAATTTACGCTATGGCAGAAGATGGACTTCTCTTTAAATTCTTGGCTAAAGTCGACGAGAAGAGAAAAACTCCAAGAATTGCAACAGTGACATCAGGAGCTATTGCAGGTAGGATCAAAAGACTTGCACGAATCTGAGGAAAGGAGACATAAGCTCATCATTGGGGCAGATAAGTCCGCCTGACTCTAGCCCACTTACTAATCCGATCTGTTGCACAGCTTGACATCCCAGAGGGTGCCCTGGGTTTCCAGGGCATGCCTTGGAGGGTTCTGGGTGAGCATGAGTAGCTTGCTGTGTGCGTGTCCCTCTTTCTCAGAGCTCATTGCTGCCATCCTGTCTCATGCCAGGAATTGCCTTTATCTGCTCCCTGGGTGCTCTGCAGACCTTAAAAATAATTAACTCCCTGCAAGGTGGAAGCCAGTGGTGCCCCAGCGTCCTTGTGGCTGCTGGTCTGGCTTGGCTGAAGACACCTCATCACCTGTGGGTAGGAAGTCTGCGGAAGATGCCAGAGCAGCCGGAGACAGGCAGATGGCCCCTGTGGCACTGGCATTTGTTAATCAGTTAGGCACAGCTGGCAGCCATCCTGTTCTCTTCTTCTTTCTCCTGGCCCCCCAGAAATATCAGAATTAAACCTCCCAGACAGCAAGGATGAGTGGCTTACCCTGTTCTTGCAGCCTCTCCCTCCCTCACGATGCTTAGCAAAGAGGGGAGCCTTGCTGCTTCCTCTTTACCTGCCGCTGCAATGAGCATTCTGCTGGGATGAGCCATTGGTACAAAAGTGTACCACCTTTGGTGGGGAGTTGCTGCCAGACTGCTGCCCTGGGCTCTGAGCTCCTATGAAAGGGCTTAGCTCCTGTTGCTGAGACTCGCAGAGCCTCCTCACAGCTGCTTCTCCCACACCTTTCTCTTCAGGTATTCTTGGGTCCATACTGTGGTGGGGTAAGAAAAAGAGCCATACAAAGTTTAAAAAAGTGCTTTGCAGTCCCTTTCGGTCTCGTCTGAGTGGTCCATAGTGCCCTAGGACCAAAGCCCACATGAAGCTGCAGGGACAGCACTTGCCAGCTGAGTTTGAGTGCTGGGCTGGTTGTTGGGCCTCCAGGTTATGCATTAAGGACAGGCTGGGCCAGGCTCAGCTCTGAGGTCCCTGCACTCTCATATGACTGTTTGCGTTACCTGATGTCTGACTATGTGTTCTCTGCTTACTTGCCTTCTGAAGGCCCCTATACAAAATTCTGTACAACCGGGGTTGCCTGGTGAGGGTGTGTAAGCAGGGTAATCCCTAAGGGATGGCAGTCTGTAAGTTTTTCTGGAAATCCCCATGACAAGACATGCTACCTTGAAGATGCCCTCCTTGATGCTTGGTCCCGTTGCATGCACAAGCTTGGTTTCACCCCACCTGAGCTGAGACATAAGGCAGCAATGTACTGCTTATCCTCTGTCCCCTGTAGCTACTTCCAGGAGATAATTGTGGCTTTAGGGGTGCTGCGGCTCCACTGGGGGACTCCAACAATGAGGTTGTGACTTAAACTGCTGCTCGTTTTTGGTACTTGGGTGAACATACCCGTATGAGATGAACAGGCTGGCATTTACTGTAGTAAGTGGTTCCTCTTGTTTCAGCTAGCGAGGCTGTGCTGGGACAGCATGCGGAAGCTTGGGGTATTCATGTGCTGAGGCCTGCCTCTCCTCATCTCAGAACATCTTGAGCTCCCATGCCAAGTCCTGAGCAACAGTCACACATGTGCTGTGTCGTCATTAGCACTCTTGAAATGTGCGTGTTCTGCTGTGTTACTTGTTTTTCTTCTCTCTCACCTTCTTCTCCTACAGCTGTTATGGCCTTTCTTTTTGACTTGAAAGATCTTGTGGACCTCATGTCCATCGGGACCCTCCTGGCTTACTCCTTGGTAGCAACCTGTGTGTTAGTACTGAGGTAAGAATGTAGAAACCGCCTTTCTTGTCACACTGGCAGAAATCCACACAGTGATCAGATGCCTTCATAGTTTCTATAGGCCTAGTGAAACTATGAGCATCTCCAGCTATAAGCATATGAAGAGCTTGTTTCTCTGAGCTCGTGGGAGACTGTGTTAGTTGTATCTACAGTGGGGTCCTCTGAACTTGGTTAACCCTTGGTCCATACCACTCCTGCTGCGGTCAACTCTAAATGCCCTGGGAGATATGCCAATGGATAGGGATGAGAGATGTGTGGTCCTCGTCACCGCTCTTATTCTCACTGGGGATACACTTTCAGGTTGTCTTATTTTTGAAAGGGGGTTCAAGGTAAAGTCTAACAGCAGCAGGAGCAAAAAAGCTGAGCATGTGTTTACAGGATCAGTGCCTCTGTGTCTTTTAGAAGTGCTGAGCTCCCCTAACTTCCCAAACCTAAGCTGAAAATTGAGTGTCTTCAGTGCTTGGCACCTCACAGATGACAGCACTCTACCAATGAAAACTGTACTATGAAGATCATGTTACTGAAAAATACCTTTGTGTGTTCAATGACTTATTCAGAGTCAGATAGAGGCTTTCTACAAGCTCACAGCAAATGCACTGAACTAAGAAGAGTCTTGCAGCTGGTGAAGGGCCAGTGCTGTACTGTAGTATCATTGCTTTGTGTTTGTGCTCTCCTCCCTGCCCCTTAAAAACCCTTGCCAATTTTCCTTGCCCTTGTTACTTTTCCTGATTTCCGAGCCCAGTCTTTTCCTCAGAGCTAGAAATGGCTTTTTAATTTGTTTTTGCCAGTTGCTGTACCTATTGCATGACATTTCCCCCATCACGGATTGGCAGAGCTGACAGCCTATCTTGTAGTGGCTCAGGCAGCTGATTTGTCTGCCCTGTTGACTGCCTAATGATGTAGCAGGTGAATTGTTTTCAAAGCTATAAGATCCTGGTACTGGTTTCTTGCTGTGATTGGACCCAAGGATTTCACTGCATTTCTCAATTTGCAGTGTTTCCCAAATGTCCTCGTTGTACACACGTCCCCATGGGAGCAGTTTTAAGGTCTTTCAAAATGGCCCAATCCTTTAGTCAGAATTTTAGGTGAGTCACAGACAAAACATTCTGTAACAGAGAGTTAAGGCTGAAGGGGAGTGATTTTTCTTTATGGATCCACATGGTTGTGTGTCACAACCCTTTTGAATGTGCTGTTCACACAGGCAACAACCATCTCTTCCTTCCCTGTGTGGCAGCAGACAAGGTAGCAGAAGAGACTGGGATAGAGGAGTATGAGGCACCAGGAATGTCTCTGCTGGGTGTGATATCTGCTGAACTGTTAGCTCAACCACCTCCTTTCCAAAAGGCAAGAGCTGAACTGCCACTGATAACACAACAGCCTGGTTATGACTATCTGTCTGTCCCTCTGCCGCTTCCTTCTCCAGTCCTATCAACTCATCATGTTTTCGTGACAAGGATGACAGTGTTTATGAAAGAGCACTGTATGCTTTAAAACACTTGACCTTACAACCAAGCTGTAGGTGATAAGATCTGACCATATTTGCTTACATCATTGTGATGTTAGTCATCAAATATCCCTCTGAAACAGAAGGGTGTAGACATTATGTGGGCCTGTTCTGGTGCTGTAGTGATCTGGGGAGCAGCCATGACTATGCATGTGGCTTTTAAATGAACGGGTACCCTGTGCCAAACTGATTGGCTCTTTGTGTCATTTCTTTTTTCCTAGATACCAGCCAGAGCAGCCTAATTTGGCATACCAAATGGCTAGGTCAACAGAGGAGACAGATAACAATGAGTCTGTGAGCACCAGTGAGTCACAGACTGGATTTTTGCCAGAGGAAGAGGAGAAGTGCTCCTTCAAAGCTATACTGTTTCCCCCAAATTTGGACCCTTCCAAATTATCTGGCTCGGTGGTGAACATCTCAACCTTCATCATTGGTAAGCACTGGGCAGTGCGTCTCTGGAGCATAGAGCTGGTAGGTCTTTGTACTCACCGTGGGGGGAAAACTCACATCCTTGCTGTGATTTTCGTGAGCTCTTGTAATGGCCAAAATAACTGAAGATCTGCAGATTAAATTTCTGACTTGAAGAGAAATGCACAGATGGGGTATGTGGGGGTGTATAGGGGGAAAGACATATCTGTTATGGTTAGTTTTTTAATAAGTTGCTGTTTTGTTTGCTGACCTTTCAGATTCTGCTTGTGGCTTGTTGTTGGTTTTCTCCTGTATCTAAAAAAAAAAAATCAGTAACCTTTGGTGTCTGTTCACAGGTTTCTTTATTGTGTGCAGCTGTATCCTGAATGCCCTTATAACAAATATTGCAATATATGTATGGATTATTGCTGTCATCCTTGTTCTCATTGTCAGCTGCATTATATGGAAACAACCTGAAAGCAAAACTAAACTCTCCTTTAAGGTGAGTGTCCTGGGACGTGTAGCTAAAGAAGAGCTGTTTTGGGAGGTGCTTGGAGGTGGAAGTCCATGTTGGCCTGTATCAGAAGGGTGGACCTGGCCAAATATAAGCATGATGTGAACTTTTCCATCCAGGAGAAGCTGGAAGGGCAGACCCTGCTGCAGAGGTGTGGCTGGAAGGGAAGGGCAGACTCTGCTTTCGAAAGCAGATGGTTATAAGATAGGGTAGAGTCGGAGACTGGAGGAAAGAGGATAGTTGTGAAGGGCCACATCAGATCGTGGATACAGAAGGAGAAAGAACCCAAGAAGCAAACTTGTATGTGAGGATCAGAGGGGTACTCACTAAAAGGCTCTAAGAAAGTGAACTGTCATGTTCTCCTTAGTCCCCATGGAGGCTAAGGCATGACCATTCTCTCTTTAACTGCCTTAAGTGTGAGAAACCGTTGTTTTCCTGCCCTGTCCAAGTACACCATCTTTTCAATATTAAACAAACACTGGGATGTTTTTTTCCCCCCAGTATAATCCTGCAAGTCATGTTTTATTGTATTGATTTCAGGCTAGTTCCCCAATTTATTAAATTAATTTTGGATTCTAATTCCATCCTCTAAACTGCTTTCATTGTGACTGCTTTTCAGATACAGTTTTTCAGTAAATTCACTGATTTTAATAACTTAATCCAGCTAGAGTTTTCCAAGGTAGTATTTCCAGCTCATTTTGAGTATTATGGTCCCAGAGGTAGAAACAGAAATGTCCAGGAGCAGAAAACTCAGGAACTCTCATCTAGGCTGTATTTTCTAAACTTGCTTCTGAGGAGGTCTCTTCACCTTTCACTGAAGGTATTTTACCTCCTTTTTTTCCCCTCAGCCACTACCCTGTCCAAGAAAAAAGAAAATTAGACCTATCACTGCTAAATCTGTAATCATAGAATCATTTAGGTTGGAAAAGAACTTTAAGTTCATCAGGTCCAACCATTAACCCAGCACTTCCAAATCCACCACTAAACCGTGTCCTTCAGTGCCACATCTACATGTCTTTTAAATACCTCCAGGGGTGGTGATTCCACCACTTCCCTGGGTAGTCTGTTCTAATGCCTGACAACCTTGTCACTTATCTCCTTGCTGCTCTTTAGACATTCACAACCCGACTGTGATTTTTCTCCTAAGTCACTCTGGAAATCCAAGGCTGACCTGTTTGTTCCCCAGTTGTTTCTCTGTATTCTTTAATAGGTAGTTTTTCTCCCTTCTCCAGTTATTAGACACCTTACAATTCTACCAAGAGCTCTCAGAGATGCTTATTAATAGTTCAGAGATCACTTCTGCAATATCTGGGTACATAACTCACCCACCTAGGGAAATTTTATTTGTCCCTACTGACTTGACAAAAGCCAAATTTAGAAAAATATTCTTATTTTCTTTTCTAATTTGTGTGCCTATCTCCTTTCTCTAGTGATGTGAGCAGCTGCTTACTGTAAGTTCTTTTTTTTTGGCAATGCTTAGATCAAGAAAGGCCCACAACATTTCAGCCTGTTTCTTTTTATAAATCTTCTTTTCCCTTAGGAGCAAAGTTCACTGTCCTATTAGTTCCACCATATTCACAAAGCTTTCTATTGTTATAATTTGTCTTGTTTGATTTTATCTTTACATGCCAGTGCTATTTTTTTATATTCTTATTTGGCATTTTGGCTTTACTGTCTCATTCTTCTTTGACTCTCAGACCACTAAGGCATTCTTGGCACAGCTGCAGTCATCTCTTGCAAGATTTGCTGGTTTTCTTCTGCTTCAGGATGATTTTCTCTCTATTGCTAAATTACCTTGATATCTGTTGAATGAAGTTCCTTAGACCCCTCCTCTGACATTCCCCTTACCTTCCTCTCTTACTCTTCAATAGGTGCCTCTCCTTGGTTATTCCTCTTCTCTCCTTCACCCCACAAAATTCGCCTCCTTTCTAAAATTCACCTCTTGCCTCCTTACAGACCACAAAACAAGCTTCTTAAAACAGATGAACAGCATTGTTTACATCCCGCTCCCATAGTGGACTGATGTCCTCCTTTTGGGTTTAACCTTGCTTTTTCTCAGATCTGACAGCTGAAGTTTTGGTAACAACCATCACTTCCCATTTACAAGGAATGTGATGTTCGTTCCTGCCCACTGTTCCATCCCTGTGGATGTAACGTATCCCTCATTCTTTTTCAGGTACCTCTTTTACCCTTTCTTCCCGTTGTGAGTATTTTTGTGAATGTTTACCTCATGATGCAGCTAGACGTAGGCACATGGATACGGTTTGCAGTCTGGATGCTCCTAGGTGAGTTAGAGAGTAAAAAATGCTATGTTCAAAGTTACTAGGTTTTGTTAACCAGAAATTTATTGTAGCATTCCAGGGAGGGATTCTGCATTCTGATCATCCCTGGGCAACCCTGGTGACTTCACTGAAGCCATTTAGGCAGTCTCAATCTTTCTTTAAAATTCAAGGGTCTTAAAGCCTTTGTGAGGACAGCATAACAACCCATGAACCGTCTTATGGGTCTTGTTGCTGACAAGAAACCATAGAGCGTTTTTTGTTGACTGGCCTTGAGTTGCTGTCCGTGTGGTGGGGCTTATGGTTTTGGAGCTGAAGAAGCTGAGCTGTATCCCAAGATGTTCCCAGTAGCCATGTGGATAAGGCTGAATTGCCTGAAATGCTCAAATGAGCACCCCATTTGGGGCTGGGATAGATTGACTTTTAAAGACTAGTGCCTGTGGGCTTTTTTTTCCCCTAAGGATGGTAGTGGCTGTCCATGAGAAGCTAACGATCAGGGTGGCTGGGCTTACACTGGTGTAACTTGTGTCAGTGGGTGTGAGTAGGGTTTTCTGCTTCCTTACAGAGCTAATGGTAACCTCTCCCCTTGGCTTCTACAGGCTTTATCATCTACTTTGCCTATGGAATACGGCATAGCGTGGAAGCCACCTACGCGGCGTCAGCAGATGTGGAGAGAAACACAGACGCTGGCTCAGACAGCTGTAAATGACTGTGTTTGGCTTACAGGCAACTGGTAGCTGCAGTGAAAGAAGCTTTGTGGTGGGGATCCTGAATCAGATTGCACCTGATCAATCAGTAATGCAGGAATAAGAAAGCCTAATGCAGGCCTCCCTAACCCTTTTGCTGCAGCTTGCGGTTTGTTTAGTAGCACAGTTAAAAGGGATCACAAGGAAAAAAGACACAACTCTGGAATACTCCTGGCAGCACTGTCAGCTCACCTGGGGCTATGGGCTTCCCTCTCTCCCTCTCCTGTTTTGTTTTTTTCCTCAGTATGTAGAAAGAGAACTGCTTCTGTGTGCCAGTTAACCTTAAATGCTGCTATGAAACCAAGCCTCACAAAGGTCTTTCTCAGTAGCCCTGAGAATTACCTCCCCACAGATACTCTACCTGATTATACATGGAGCAGATTTTGCAGTGCTACTGTCAAGTGTAGACCAGATCCATCCTTCACCCTATGTGACCTGTACCCCACGTGTACGCACAAAAAAAGGCTCTCGCCAAACAACAGATTTCACTGGGTTAAGAAAGCACCTGCAAGATTTTAATTCTTTAAATTATTAGGTCTCATAGTTTTTGTTGTATTTAACTTGTTTTTTTGACTATGTACTCATATGCTTTAAAGCACATTTCCACTGCTGTGAAATGTTGGGAAGGTTTGTGGTTGCTGTTTGTCAGGTGAATGGTCGCTCGCCAGCACACAGGGAACGCCAGTATATATTGCTGCTGCCTGTACACTCCACAGAAGGATTGCCAGGTTTAGTGAGGGAACTGTGTGGTGCAAGTACTTGAAAGGCCTGAAAGGAATGGGTGCCTCTGAAGAGATGTCCTGCCTCTTTGCCTTGGAAGTCACCAGTGTGGCTGCAGTGGTGGGGTGGTTGGCAGAGGTGAGTCCAGCTCTGACAGCAAGTGGAGTCCTGTTTTCCTCTTCCTGCATCAGTTCTGTGTCCTGGCCAAGTGGCATTAGCAAAGGATTTGGCTGTGATACTTCCATTTGGTGTTGGTGGGTGGAACACATTTCTGCCTTGGAAAGGGAAGCACAGAAGAATCCTCAGGGTCATGAAGTTCACTCATGAGCAGTAGTGGTGTCTGCCCCCTGCCCAGGGGAGGCTGTGGGGAGGTGCAAGGGCTTCTCAAGTCCCAGCAGAGCATGCAGCCCAGAAAACACCGCTAAGCTCTAGGGTCTGACTTGCTGAGGGGAACTTTCCCTTTGGGGCTGGAGATCATTTCCAGAGCCTGGCTGTGAAAGGTTGGAAATTTGGAGTTGAGACCAGGGGCTGTGTTTGGTTGGCAATGCCTTGGTTTTGCTGCAAGATGATGTTTGTTTTTTTGAATTCTCTCTAATAGCTTTCCCCAGCCAAATTCATCCACTACCCTAAAAAAGGCTTGTTAAAGCATCGTGAAGGTGGACCATGCCCATGTAATGCCACTGATTTAAATTCATGCTTCAACTTGTACTGAAAAACAAATCATAGAATCATGGAATGGTTTGGGTTGGAAGGGACCTTTTGAAGATCATCTAGTCTAGCCTCCCTTCCATGGGTAAGGACATCTTTCACTAGATGAGATTGCTCAAAACCCAGGCCTCAAATGCTTCCAGGGATGGAGCATCCCAAATAGATACTGTGGAAACCCCCTTTCCTGACTGAGTGGATGCTTTCCTAGGTGTCCTCCATACTACTGTCTCTGAACACTGGACAATCTTTAATCTATTTGTCAGCATGGCTCTTGCTGATGAAGCGACAGGCTCTCGTCCCCATTATTCAGTTGGATAACTGAAGAACAGACCCCTGCGTGACTTGCCCAGGGTCTCACCAGGCATCTGGTGCAGCAGAAAGGAGAATCAGACAATTTCCTGGGTTACATGGCTGGACCGTGGACCATCTCTCACATGTTTCCAAGAAAGACTTTGTAGCCTTTCTGCCCACTGAAGAGTTTTAATCTTGACTTCTTTCTAGTGCGCTGGGAGGCTCTTCTTGGCAGGATTGGAATTTGAGGGAGCGAAGGCAATGTGTTCATTGCTTCCCAGGTGCACTTCAGGGTGTGTTTTGAGTGCAGTTTCCCCCCAAAAATGAAGTCGGGGTCTGCTCCAGTCAGTGGGTCTTGACCATCTGCCAAGCCTTTGCACCTTATGCATATACAAAGTCTTAATCAAGCAGGGGGAGATGAATATAGAAATTAGAAGCCACTACGTTGAAATCTATTTTGTTTAAACACAGGCAAGGTCAACACACTCCACAGCCTCCCAAAAGACACTGAAGATGTGGTGAGAGGCAAGAAGATGAAAACTCAGAGGGGAGCAAAGTTTCCTATTGTACTAAAAATGTAAGGATGTTTTTCTCTACCTGGGTACCAGCTCCTGAGCAATTATAGCATTAAACAATGACCATTTAGGGGTGAATTCTGACTGGAAGTGTGTTTCCAAAGAAAATTATTTTAACATATACAGATTTCTTGCTGTATGTAAATTTTTTTTATATAGGTGTTAACTTATTTGTGTTGTCTGCTTAGAGATGTGTTCTGGTTTTTATATTCCATTACTTTGCTTCAGCTTTTGTGGCATATAATAGCAACACGTAGAAGAAGAGGAAGTCCTGATGGGGGCCATTTTTCTTCAGTCGCTTTTTCTCTGAGAAGGTTCATAGGAAAACCATTCTGTGTCAACAGATTTGATATTTAAATGTGCCCTTATGTGTACCAGCCCAGAGCCACATGCCATAAATTTGCTGGTAGAGGTGAGGGTCTTTAACTCTGTCTCCCGCTGCTCCATCATGACTTCTTCAACCCATCAGTTCCCTGGTGGTAAGTGCTGCTGTTGCTACTCACCAGATACAAGGAGGTGGAGGGAATCTGCAGCCCTGCACAGTGACAGGGAAGTGCAGGTGTCTCCCTGTCTCTCTGTGTACCTGCTTCTCCTGTGTCCAGCTGGACCTGGGGACCTCCTGACCTCCTCTTCACATGTTTTGACCCAGGGAGTGGACTGGTGAGGAGGTGATGAGTTTGACACAGCTGCATACTTCTGCCTCGTCCTCTCCTGCCTGCATCTACCCCTTGCTTGTCCATTTTTTTAAGCTAAAAGGCAAGTCTGACTGCCTCTTTCCAGGACAATGTCAAGGACTTTGCTGAATAGTGGTTTTTTTACTATTTTATGGGGTTTTACCATTTTCTGCCTCCCTGCTGATGTGTGCATGTAACATAGATCAAGCGAGGTATCTTTGGAGTCATGCAACTGCTGCTATAACCTTGCTGTTGTGGATGATACACTTTCATTCATTTGAGCTTTCCTCTGTGAATAGTTTAATCATAATTTTATGATGCAAATATTTTGTAGAGCATTTTGTTGCATGAAGAGTTGGGAATGGACAAGCAATGCCTTTGCTCGGCACAAAAATAGATCCTGGCATGCTTGATATTTAGGGGCAGGCTCTGGCCCAAAAGAGTGACCTTATTTCAGCGTATTTAGTTGCTCCCAGTCTGCTCACTTGAAGTTTCCTTCTGGGAAAGCTGTTGGAAGGGTCCTACTGACTGCTGGTGCATGGTGGGCAGAGGTTGGCAGCATTGAGGCTGCAACTCCCAGTTATATAGCAAGTCTGAGTATGTAACCAGCCAGCCCTTCTCAATGGAAAATTACTGTCAAAACAGTTTTCCTCCCCCCCACCAAACAAAGAAATTTTTTTGGTTCAGAAATGACTAGCTTTTGATTATTTACTTACTATTTTCATTCTTTTGTCACTGAAAGTCATTACTGACTGGTTTTCGACTTCACTTCACTTTACCCTTTTCTCATCCCTCAGGGTGGAGTTTGATGCTTCTCTGGGTAGAGAGTGCTTGTGCTGGGAGTCGAACAGCTCTGCTGCATGAGGGGGTACTCTACTGTACTGTTTGGCCATTGTGGGGGCTGGGGTATGCTGCAAACAGACTGCTCCTGGTTCAGAGCCATATGTGCTTGGTCACAGCAGGGGAGAGGGGGCTGAAAGGAAACACACTGGTGGAACTGCTGCTGGTGCTGACACCACATGCTGCTGTTTACTGCCGGGGTTTTAGAAGGGTAAAGTTTTAGCTGGCAGTGCCTGCCATAGATGCTCTTACTCTTCATCCATCCCACAAAAACAGGCTCCTATTCCTGGTGTACAGAGAGTGCCTGTCACTGCCTGTTGCCTCCGTTCCTACTTACTCAGAGACCAGAAAGTGATATGATACAATATTATGTTTATATTTGTAAAATCTGCTTCTTTAGTGATTGCATTTTATATACTAATGAATTCCAGTAAAAATTCTTAAATCCACCCCTAAGGAAAGCCATGTACAAGTAAACATTGCTATCATCTGCCCAAATGAAGGAAGAGCGACAGGCAGGTCTGGCGGGCGTGAGGGGCTTGCATTGACAGGGAGGAGGAGGAATGAGGCTGGTTTTCATGCAGCAGGCTCCCCTGAAATCCCTTCCCTATGTGCATCTCAACACTCCCCTTTCAAAGCAAACCTCTTCCCTATGGCAGAAAAAGCATCTCTTCCTAAAGCCTTGGATAACCTTGCGATGTCCGCTGGGATTGACTTTCCAAGCAGGTCTTATTTCTTCCTTCTCCTTATGAAAAAATTGCACTTGTTCAAGGCTAAATCTATACATACACAGTGAACTGATGCTTTCTCCTCACAGCCAACTCACCTTTCCACAGGGCTGCCAGCCTGATGTGGGATGCCAGCCTGCCTGCATCCCAAAAGCAAGCTGAAGGCAAGGCTGCCTCGATGGTGTCATCAGTTGTGCTGCCTGTTGCCACTCGCCTCGTGGTTTGTCATTCATTTCCCATTCCAGCAGCAATGCCTCTGCCATAACCCCCCTGGGCTGCCTTACGCTTCTACCTTACAGTTGCAGCTGAGGTCCCACTGGGAGTCTGACACCCAGCTGGAAAACAGATGATCCTGGAATGTCTCTGCTAGCAAGAGCCAGACCTCGATTTTTCTCAGGGTATTTGCTCTTGGCTCACACTGCAAAACATGAGGTTCATCTGAGACCTGGCAGGCTCCAACCAGCAAGAAGCACCTTTTCATTCCAGTGCTGTGTGGGGCAGTGGTTTTGGCAAAGTGACTCATATTTTTGGGACAACAGTGGGAAGCAAAGGGTTCCCTTGCAGCACTTGTGTGTTCCAGCTGTGCTGGGTGCAAGGGGCAGGAGGAACTGGTAAAGCAATTTTTCTGACCGAAGCCATGGAAGAGTGTATATTTTTATTTTTCAATTATTAAAATTATTAAGCAAAATGTAAATAATAAAATTTCCGTTGTCTGATGGTCTATTTTCCTAATGATTTTCTCAGAACTTTTTATGGGTGTGATAAGTAGTTTTAATGCTTGTTCAGTAATCAAATCTATTTTTTGTCTTCTTTATCTTTGTTTCGGTTTGATTTTTTTTTTCTTTTGCCTTTTTTACCAAGTTCATGTAGCAATTAAAGCCTTAAGTTTTAAAATGTGAACCTTGCCCCTAGAGCACAGCGCAGGTGTGTGGCTACTTCTAATCCTGGCAACACTGTAAATACTTCTCCCCTCAGCAATGCTTTTGGAATTTGGAAATTCACATGTAATTATCTGGTACAACATTAAAACATATTTCTTAATGTCCAAAATTATGCCTATTGTTTGCCCTCATTTGCAAGCCTGCCTCTGTTTTCCACCTTGTTCCAATGTCTGCAGGAGAGCACTTGCTCAGGGAGCTGCTTGTGGTAACTCTACCCTGTCTTTTGGATTTGCTGAGACAGGTGGGACACTACGTAATTTGGGGAATTTTTTGCAGACTGGGTCTGTGCTCAGTGCTGAGCAGGTTGTTGCTGCTGACAGTGAGGTGACTCAGCCCCTGTCTTGTACTACCAGTTCAGGTATTAGGTGGGACTTCAAGAACCTGCAAAGGTAACTTAAAATTGACCCAGGTGATATAAATTTTGCTCACATTGCAAAGTTTGGTTGCCTCAGGAAATTAGCACTGTGTAGTGAATGAAGAGTACTGCTCGTGGGATTTTCCAGGATAGGGCCTGCAGGACAACACAGAAACCACCAGGCAGGAGGAGGCTTGTCTGCTGCGTGCCTCTGCCTCCATCACTTGTGTCCTGTGGCAGATGAGCCAGTGGCCCCCGAACACTGCTTTGCTTCTTCCTTTAGTCCTGGTCCTTGCCACAGCTTCCTTTGTGCTAAGCAAGGCAGGGGCCTGGTGAAAAATCTTTCAGGAGGATGTCATCAGGTATGTTTCTGAGGTGGGATGTGCCCTGACCCCTTTTTAATCCTTGTGGCAAAGCCCAAGCAGTTTCTGGCTCTCAGTGGGAGGGCAGGGTGAGGGCACAGGGGATTGGGTGTTGAAACTTAGTGAACTGGCATTCTAATAAGAGTGCAGGTTTTTGCTACTGTGCCTGAACCACTGGCAGAAATGTTCCCGTTACCACATGCTGCACTGTGACACCTTAATAGAAACATTGCAGACCACAATCCCTGATCTGGGAGCCCCAGTCATATTGGAAGCACCTTTAGAAAATGAATCCATGAGAACTTAATAGCATGTGAGCCACAGTTAGGAAACCCAGCTGACCAGCCCTGCTGCCCGGAGGCTAAGTGACTGTCTAGCTTCAGTCTTTACCTTAATGGGGTAACCCTTTAATGAAGTTTTGCTTTGTTTTCCATTGATCTTGGTTTCCGTGTGCAGAGAAAACATGGCAGGACGTGCTGGTCTGTATGCGTCAGCCCATAGGTGCACTGGCGCATGTTTTTATTAATCAGGAATATATTACACTTATCTGTACATCGTAACTGAAATTATACAAACTCTTCCTGTAATCATTAGCCACGTAGTAAACAGGACCACAGAACTCCTGCTGTGCGGGAAACTGTACAGAGGCTCCTCAGCGTGTCCATGGGACACAACCACCATCAGTGCAGAGACGTAAAATACCTGATTTTGCACTTGATAGTTCTCCTTTCCTCCCCCTGCCCACCACCATCACAAGCCTTTGCTACTGTGTATCGACCGAGTTAACACATCTCTGCCGGCAGCTGCAGGAGGTCCCATCCCAACAGGGCCAAATGGTATCTTTCCACAGAAAATTCTGTGGCCCCCACTTGCTGCTGGCTCTCCTGCCATCCCATGGCTGATACCTGCTCCCAGTGCCTGTCTCTAGAGCCCCTGCAGAGCAGCTGTAGGCTAGTTTTATTGCCGCTGCACCCTTCTGCATTGGTTAAAGATTAACCAAATCAAACAGCTTCTTTTTAAAGACAGAGGCGATAAAACCCTTTCCTGCTTAGTGCTGGCTATGTTCCCTCTCCTGCCAAAGGCTGCCCTACACTATCAATTGGGAAAGTCCCTGCAGTGGCCATGGCATTTGGGAAGTCTCCAGCCTTGCAAAAGCAATTACTTCCCATTGCTTGCCTTTGAGCAGGGACAGCCAGTGAGCACAGACTAGAGATATGGCCCCTACACCACTGGGAATGCCAAGCTCACATTTCATGGTCACACCTCCCTGGCATGAGCAGGGGTTGCAGGCTTGGCCATGCACTTGGGGGGGTTCTGTCCCACTCAGGAATGACTGCCCCACTCAGGGGCTGTTCCCTTCCTCCCACTGTCTGAGTGACCTGGGCTTTTGTTTCACACCTACTCCAGCACGTAGTGGCAAGGAGGGACAGGACAGGAAAAACAGGAAAAAGGAATAACCTTTTTTTTGGGAAAAAAAGTCTGTGTTTCTGGGCTCGCACCAGGAGGAGCCACCCTTAACACCCCCCACAGGGATGGGTTGCTGGGTCCCTTCTGGTCAGGCAAAATTTCCTACAGCTTTGCTAGTGATTGGGCAGACCCCAGAGGCCGTGCCAAGGAAGAATCCAGTGAGAGGCAGGACTGGGAGGCAAAAATTCGATGGGAAAGGGATTGGCAATGATACGGAATGACGGTGGAGCTGGGTTCAACACCAGTTTTCCCACCGTAAAAGCCCCACTCCCAATTCACTGCTGGAAGCATCTCTTGCTATGACTTTAAAACAACAAAGTGATAAAGCACCAGAAAAAGAGAGAAAGGATTAATAAATTAAAACAGGCTCAGCCAGACTGTCCTGGGCCAATAGTATGCTTTAGTGTGTTTAGCACAGAAAAGTTTAGAGGAGCATCATGGTAACATCTCTGGTTGTATCAGCTCAACCAATTTACAGAGGGTAAAAAGGAGGATTCTAGAAACTATCAACAAGTCTGACTAATCTGGTGGCCTTCTGCAGTGGTGTGACTGTGCTGGTGGATGAGGGATGAGCAACTGATGTCATTTACCTGGACTCCGTAAGGTCTTTGACAGTTCCACACAACATCCTTGTCACCAAATTGGGGAGATATGGGTTTAATGGATGGAAGTTAGATACGGAATTGGCTGGATGGTTGCATTGATTTCCATGTCCAAATGGAAATCAGTAACAAGTTGTGGCCCTCAGGGGTCCATATTGGAACCAGAACTGTTTAATATCTTCATCAATGACATGGACAGTGGGATCAGGTATACCCTCAACAAGTTTGCAGATGACACCAAGCTGAGTGATACAGTTGATACACTGGAGGAAAAGGATGCCATCCAGAGGGACCTTGACAGGCTTGAGAGGTGGGTCCATGTGAAAATCATGAGGTTCAGTAAGGCCAAGTGCAAGGTGCTGCACCTGGATCAGGGCAACCCCTGGTATCAATACAGGCTGGGGGATGAATGGATGGAGAGCAACCCTGAGGAGAAAGACTTGGGGATACTGGTGGATGAGAGGCTGGACGTGAGTGTTCAAAGCCCAGGAAGCCAATCATATCCTGGGCTGTATCAGAAGAAACATGACCAGCAGGTCGAGGGAGGGAATTCTTCCCCTCTACTCCACTCTGCAGTGCTGCGTCCAGCTCTGGGTTCCTCAGCAGAGGAAGGACATCGACCTGCTGGAGCAAGTCTAGAGTAGGGCCACAAAGATGACCAGAGGGCTGGAGCATCTGTCCTATGAAGACAGGCTGAAAGAGTTGGGGTTGTTCAGCTTGGAGAAGAGAAGGCTCCAGGGAGATCTTGTAACACCTTCCAGTATCTAAAGGGGACCTGTAAGAAGGATGGGGATGGACTTCTTACCAGGACCTCTAGTGACAGTACAAGGGACAACAGTTTTAGAATGGAAAAGGATAGGTTCAGATTGGACATAAGGAAGAGATTTTCTTACAATGACAGTGGTAGGACACTGGAACAGGATGTCCAGAGAAGTTGTGGATGTCCCCTGTCCCTGGTACTGTTCAAGGTCAGGTTGGATGAAGCTCTGAGCAACCTGATCTAGTGGAAGGTGTCCCTGTGCATGGTAGGGTGCTTGGACCAGATGATCTTAAAGATTCCTTTTAACTCAAATCATCCTATGCTCCTATGATCTCATTTTACCTGAATTGTATTGATGGGATGAAAGATGACAATGCAGTAGGTATTGCAGGTGTCTGTGCAGTTAGTAAGTATCAAAGTGATTAAAGTTGTACTTGGCAAGAAGGGACTTTGTGTGCATGTATGTGCTAGGTATCTATCTTACTTTCAGGTTGTATTTGCTGGACACACTAAAATCTAGTAATGCATTTCAACAGCAGTAGGTGGTGTGGCATGATCTATTCTAACAAGATGCTCAATTTACTCAGTATCACAGTATCATGCAAAAGCTGCTACAAAAATAAATTTCTCTAAAAAGGAGAAAAAAAAAATCACGTTTTTTTTTTAACACTGTGGAACAGGCCACAGGTGCTTTGATGGTGGTTGAAGCTGTATCTAAGCTGCAGTCTGTGAATCCTGAGTATTTCCCAGGAAAGCTGAAGCATAGCTCCCACTCAAGCAGTTTGCAGGGCAGTGCAATCTCATCCCTGTAGGTGCAGGGCGTGCTGGTGCCACGCACACCCAGGTGGGAGAGCCACCCTCCCCACAGCACTCCTGCACCCCAGGGGTTTGCTTCATGTACTGTCTCCCTGCTTACTTTGACCCCAGTGCACAAAGCAGGCCTGCATGCAGGCTCTTTGCCCTAAGCTGGGTAGAAAAGCATCCCACAGATCTCTTTGTTTTTGAAATTATGCTCAGGGATATTTTTTTCTTGCTAGAAGTGCCCATGAGGGCCCTGCAGACTGTCCCACCACAGCCACTTCTCAGCCCCACCACTCCCTCGGGTGGGGGGTCACTCGAAGCCTGGGTGAACATTTTTGCTTCTAGATGGGAAAGTTAAAGTTAGTTTAGCCACTCATTTCCATGAATCTTCAAAGTGCTCTGTAACTTTAGGTAAGCTTTAGCAATGTGAAATAATATAGATATGTGGAAGGAAAGTAATTCTGACCTCATTTGCGCCTGTGTAGTTGGCTGTGCTCTATTTGGCATTTCAGGTGGAAGGAGGCTAGAGCCCTAGCTGTTGCCCAGTGTCTCATCCTAATATTGGAAACCTCTCACCCAGCACAGGTCAAGGATGAACAACTTTTTTTCTCCTTCTTGCTTATGGAACTTGAAATAAAGCAAAATGGACAGGAACCTACAACCAGAGATTCTGATTGTATCCAAATCAGGCCAAGGTAAATCAAGATAAGATCTGACTAGGATTTAAAGACACTAAAATTGAACGACGTTAACCAGTAACCT